AATCACCATGGGCCCTTCAGGATTCATTCGGCTTCCCTAAGGGTTCCTCAGGTTTCCCTAAGGATGCCTTAGGATTGCCTAAGGATTCCCTAGGGTTCCCCAGGGATTCTCTAAGGTTCCCTAAGGATTCCCTAGGGTTGCCGAAGGACTCCTCCGGACTGCCTAAGGACCCCATAGGGTTGCCGAAGGACTCCTCAGGATTGCCTAAGGCTTCCCGAGGGTTCCCTAAGGATACTCGAGGGTTCTCTCAGGATTCCCTAGTGTTGCCGAAGGACTCCTCAGGATTGCCTAAGGATTCCGTAGGGTTGCCGAAGGACTGCTCACGATTGCCTAAGGTTTCCTTAGGGTTCCCTAAGGATCCCCGAGGGTTCCCTAAGGAGTCGGGTGGGTGTCTTGGGGGTTCCCTGGGGTTCCGTAAGTATCCGGTAGGTTTGTTTGACGATTGTAAGATTCCCAAGGGTTCCTTGAGGATTCCCGAGGGTTCCCTACGATGCGTCAGGGTTCCCTGCGGAGTCCCTAGGGCTCCGCAGGGATCCCGAAGGATCTGCAAGGGTTTCGCATGGATTCTGGAGCCTCGCTGGTGCTCCCTTGCGTTCGCGTGGTCGGGTCCAGTGGGGAGGTGCAAATGTACTGCTGGATCCCATAGTCCTGGTAATGGAAGGCCGGATGGGGTTTCCCGTTTCCCGTTTCCCGCCCGCCCCCCTTCCCATGGGGCCTCCAGCTAGGGGTCGCGCAAGAGGGTAGGACCTCCAAGGTAGAATTGGGCTTCCAGGTAGTGGTCGTACCTTGAGTTCTCACGTCTCAAGAATAATTATTGTTGATCCCCCCCCACCGGTGCATACGGTTGTTTCTCAATCGAAGTGTGCCCCGCGACGCTCGCACCCTGTTTTTTGAAAGGAAAGTCTTCCTGCTCAAACTGGGCCCCTGGCCCCCGGGTTGCAACAACAACGGCTCCCGCCTGAGACTTCCTTGCACCTTGGACCCCCGCTCCCGCCCAAGACTTCCCCGCATTTTATTCAGGAATCCCGCTCTCGCTTGGGACTTCCTTGCAATGTATTCAGGAATCGTTCTCCCGGCGCTCTGGAGTCGCGCTCTCGCTGGAGACTTGCTTGCAACTTGCTGAAGAATGGCCTTGCGTTGGAATTTCCTGCAATTTGCCCAAGCGCCGCGCTCCCGACACCCATGCACCCAGGAGTCGCGCCCGTTGTTGCCCCATGTGCATGCCCTTCATGGCCCCGCTGTCGCCATTTGTGTCCCCCGCACTGTCCTACGTGGCCCAGTTGCTACCCTCAGTGGCCCCATAGTTGACTTCTGTGGCCCCACATTATCTGCCCTTCGTGGCCCCCGCTCGTTCGCGCTCTTCGTGGCCCCATACGCATTCCCTTCGTGTCCCCGCTGTCGCCTTTCGTGGCCTGCTTCGTGCCCTTCGTGGCCCTGCTGTCGTTCTCTCTCGCTCTCGCTTTCGCTCGTCGTCGCCGTCGTCGTCGTCGTCGCCGTCGTCTTCGACGTCGTCGTCGTCGTCGTCATCGTGGTCGGTCCCCTGTCTGTCCCTCTTGGGGTCGGGTCGACGGTCCGCGGCCGCCCCGCCGATCAGCGCTGCCGCTGGCCAGGCCGACGGTCCGCGGCCGCCCCGCCGCTTGCCGGGGCCCGGCATGCAGGGAAAGGTATACCCCCCAAAAGGGGTTCGATCGAAGACGAAAAGGGCGGGTATCGAGGGTTTGGGAAATACGCGTTATTGGACACTCGAGCATATAAGGGCGAACAGTCTCAAAGGTATTGTTGCTGTTGTCGTTGTTGTCGTTGTTGTTGTTATTGGTGTTGTTGTTGTTGTTGTTGTTGTTGTTGTTGCTGTTGCTGTTGCTGTTGCTGTTGCTGTTGCTGTTGCTGTTGCTGTTGCTGTTGCTGTTGCTGTTGCTGTTGCTGTTGCTGTTGCTGTTGCTGTTGCTGTTGGGGGGGGCCGGTACTTCCTTGCAGTTTATTGGAGAATCGCGCTCTCGCTTTGGATTTCCTCGCAACCGTACGCATGTCCTTCGTAGCCCCGCTGTCGCCCTTCGTGGCCCTCTCGCTGCCCTTCGTGGCCCCTTTGCTGCCCTCAATGGCCCCGTTGTCGCCCTTTGCGGCCAGATATACGAATTCCTTGCGTGGCCCCCGCTCGCTCGCGCCCGTCGTGGCCCCATATGCATGCCCTTCGTGGCCCCGCCGTCGCCCTTTGCGGCCCCCTCGCTACCCATCGTGGCCCCGGTGCTGCCCTCAGCGGCTGCGTCGCTGCCCTCTGTGGCCCCGGATTATATGCCCTTCGTGACCCCCGTTCGCTCGCGTCCTTCGCGGCCCCATATGCATGCCTTTCGTCGCCCCGCTGTCGCCCTTCGTGCCCCCCCCGCTGCCCTTCGTGACCCACTTTCTGCGCTCAGTGGCCTCGCTGTCGCCGTTTCTGGCCCCATATGTGTATGCCCTTTGTGGCCCCCGCTCGTTCGGGCCCGTCGTGGTCCCATATGCATGCCCTTCGTGGCCCCGCTGTCGCCCTTTTGCGGCCCCCTCTCTGCCCTTCGTGGCCCCGTTTCTGCCCTCAGTGGCCCCGTCGCTGCCCTGTGCGGCCCTACGCTTGCCCTTCGTGGCCCCCGCTCGTTCGAGCCCGTCGTGCCCCCATATGCGTGCCCTTCGTGGCCCCATTGCTGCCGTTCGTCGCTCTCACATCATCCCGCTTCTTTTCAGGGTTCCACGAAGTTCGTTTCTAACACCAGTTCGCAGCTGTACGTCCCCCCGTGGGGGTATCCACGATATGTTCTTTCAAGGGGGTGGTACGTGGCGCTGTTCATGGCGCGACCCACTACGAAACTTATGGTTAACTTGTGTTGGAGTGGCTGGCGCAAACCATGGTGCAAGCTGAATCGCCACTCACAACGCAAAGCGTCGTCCTCCCTCCTTGCCCCTCCCCGCCCCTTCCTCCGATCCCTTCGTCTTCATTTTCCCCCGTTATCTGTTACCCTTCGATTTCAAGGGCTTTACCAACCACGCGTGGCAGGGAATGAGGACACCCCCCCAAAAAGGTACGATCGAAGACGGAGAGGGCGGGCACCCAGGGTTTGCGATATGCATATTGAATGACACGCGAGCAAAGAGCGAACCGTCCTAAGACATTGTTGTCGTTGTTGTTGTTGTTGTTATTGTTGTGATTTTTGTGTTGGTGTTGTTGCTGTTGGCGTTGTTCTTGTTGTTTTTTCTTATGTGCGTTGATGTTGGTGTTGATGTTGTTGTTGATGTTGTTGTTGATGTTGTTGTTGGTGTTGCTGTTGCTGCTGTTGTCGTTGCTGTTGTTGTTTGTTGTCGCCGTTTCACCCGCGGCCCACCCTGCGACCCGCCCCAAAACCCACCCCGCGACCCACCCCACGACCCACTCCGCGACCCACCCGCGACCCAACCCGCGACCCATCCGCGATCCACCCCGCAACCCACACGCGACCCCCCCGCGACCCAACCGCGACCCATCCCGCGAACCACCCGCGACCCACCCCGCGACCCATCCGCGACCCACCCCGCGACCCACCCGTGACCCACTTTGCGACCCACCCGCGGCCCACCTCGCGACCCACCTTCAAGGGAGGAAAACTACCTGGACCCGACAATTGACGTTTACTGAAACGGCCGTGGGCGTTGAATAAACAGCCCTGTTCTGTTCGTTTCATGCCCTGCGTGCGTTTACTGAACGGCTTCGCTTGCCGGGGTGATTATTATGGGGTGGATTTTTTGCCGTCTACACCCGCGACCTACCCCGCGACCCACCTACGACCCACCCGCGACCCATTTGCGCACCACCCGCGACCGACCCACATTTGTCCAACGAAAAAATCATCACTTGCGGCGGGCTCTTTGCATAATTTGTGAAGTGTTGGCGCCTGCTGCGGGTTTCTCCGGTGTCTTGCAAGCTGCCGACGTCCCCACCGCCCCTCACTCCTATCCGCATTTACGGGGTGCTACGTATAAATTCACAATCATATATGTTTGTATGTATGTATGCATGCATGCATGTATGCATGTATGCATGTATGCATATATGTATGTATGTATGTATGTATGCATGTATGTTTGCATGTATGTGTTTATATGTATATATATATATATATATAAACATACATACATACATATACACTTAAACATATTTATATATATACATATATATATATATATATATGTACATGTACACATATGTACTGTGGACCCTTGGGCGAAAATCACGGAGCGGCGTGAGTCAAACTTTGCGGCGCGCGCTTCTGACTTTGGTGCGCAAATACCAGCGAGCTGCGATACGCGATCGACAACCAACGTGAAATCGATGATTTCTGACTCTTCAGGCTCTCTTGAGGGTCCTCCTGGAGCTCTTTTGGGGCGTCTTGGACTGTTTCGACAGCGTCTTCGGCCGTCTTGGGGGCCCTCGTGGGCAGGTTCGGGGCCTTCGTGGCCTGTCTGGGGGGTCTCTCGAGGACTACTGGAGCCATTTTGGGGGCCTCTTTGGGACTTTTTCGGCCGTCTTGGGGGCATTTTGAGCCTCACTTGGGTTCCTCCTGGGCTGTATTGGGGCTGTTTTTGGCTCCCCTTGGGCCGTTTCGGGTCGATCCTGAGGGCCTCTTGGGCCGGTTTGGAGGTCTGACGGTTGAAAGCGCGAGAATCTCAGAACCCGTCAGACACCCAGGTGGCCTGTTAGGGTGTCCTTCGGTGCCGTCCCGGAGCGTCTTGGCGGCCCATTCGGCCGTTTCGGGAGCATTTTGGGTTATCAGAGGGCCGTCTTGGTCATTTCGGGGTCGTTTTAGTCGTCTCGGAGCCTCCTTGGGCCGTTTCGAAATTTTTTTGGAGCACCCCGGCGGCAAAAGAGGGACCTCGTTTTGTATGTGGCGTTCCTCATGATGGTAACTAATCAAGTTGGCTGTACCTTCCCACGCTTCTTTAGTATCAGTCCTCCCCCCCTCCGCCTTCGCCGCCGCTTCCGCCCGCCCTGCCGCCCGCAGGTTTTGGTGGAGATGGACCCGGTCCACAATTTGTGCAAGGAGCACCCCTGTGTCGCCCTGCGCCGTCGCTCCCCCCCACCCCTGGAGCCCGTCTCTCCCTGGCCCTCGTCGCGTCCTCGATGTCCCGTTGGCATCCCAAGTGTTATGATGTTCCAATTTACTTTCGCATTGATCACGAGTCAATGCACCCCTTCCGCACCATCGATTTTTCGGCCTGCCTGCTTTTTCTCCTTGCGCGCGTTGTCCGCCTGCTGTAGTGACTGACTATTTCTGCTCCCACTTATGCTCCCGCACCTATACTATTTTGGCTCCAGGGGAAGGGAACAGGAGCGAGCCTGCGGCGCGCGCAGCCGAAACAACGGCACAACCGCTCGCTTCGCAGAGCATGGGGTCGCAAGAGGGAGCGGTCGGGCGAACAGAAGACCGAAAACCGTCCGAGCGTAAAACAAGGATCGGCGCTTCAACGAGGCGACAAACTCCTTTTAACTTTCCCAGTGATAAAGCATCAGAGACTGCGTTTGACCTAACAGAAGGGGATTCGTCGGTTGATTCAGAGAGGGTCCAGAGAACAGCGCCCGAGCGGTAGGTGTGGCGCAGCCAAAACTTCCGCCGAAGGGCCCTTTGAGTTGGTGTCGGTACACCCTGGCCTTCAGCCGTGGATCGACCTGGACCTCGAAATGGAAATGTTGTTGGATCACATGCTCATCGAAACGTCAGGCGCCGAAAGCCTAGGCGCCGAACACGCGGTGCAGCATGCGGTGTATGGACAGAGTGAGGATGTGAGCGATTTACAATCTGAAGGGGATAGCCCCCATCCGATAGGAAAGAACGAAGAGTATGCCCGATTCCACGCCTCGCCCTGCCCGTCGCGCCATCTCGATCCTCGCCCTGACCGTTGTGTCGGTCTCGCCACTGACCGTAAAACGATTGAGGCAAGTCAGAAAGCCATCCTTGATTCGGACGATGACCTCGAAGACGGAGAGAGCCCAAACCAACGTGGACGCTCATCGACACAGCGGACGTCGAGCTACCTCGACGCAGCGCGCGCAGTGAGAAATGCACGAGAAACTACAGGCACGACTCCCCATCCGCTAACGAAGAAACCGAAGGGCAAGGGCGATGATTTGAATGCTTCGCCATTGCTACAGGACAATTGCAGACCAGACTTCCCATCGCCCAGGACAAACATATGTAGAGTACCAGAAGTTGATGAGCTTGCAACGCAGGACGAAAGAGACGACTTAGCAAGGAGCATGGGCGCCGGCACCATCAAGAGAGGCGCAAGAACGAGAGAACCACACACGCCTACTCCCAGCGCGAAAAGGGGGCGCTCCAGCGCGGCCTCCCGGGCCGGGCGTTCCAATTCCAGAGGGTTTCCTGTCGAGGATGCGGCCCCTGCCGCTCCACCAGGGCTGGCCCCGGCAACCCATGGCCCCGTCGTGGGGGCGGATCGAGGTGGAGGCTGCGAGCATCGCGGCGAAGCGCGAGAGGGGGGGCCTGAGCTTCCAGGAGAAGGTCGAGTTCTTCGAGAGTGGCGGCGCTGATGCCGGCGGCCCCGTATCTTCGAGGAGGCGCGTGGTCGGCTCTCTGCGCGTTTGTGGCCAGCCGTCACTTGCGGAGGCCAGGGGTGCCGCGACGCCGGTGGCCTACGTGGCGACGCCAGATATCGTCGCGCAGGGCGTCAAGGACCACAAGACTGGCGAGGTGCTCGACCCCCCCGAGCTCGCGCGCGCAGGCCGTGCACGGGAGCGCCAGAACATGATGGATAGGTGCCTCTTCGAGCGCGTGCCGATGAAGGACGCTAGGGGCAAGAAGGTGCGCAGCATGTGGCTCGACGAGAAGCGCGTGCAGGACGGTGCGACCACCGTTCGTTCACGTTGCGTGGCCATGGAGTTCAACGTGTACGACCGCTTGGACACGTGCATGGCGACGCCCCCGCTGAAGTTCATCAAGGTGATCGTCTCGCGGGCTGCCTCGACAAGACGTCCTGATTCCAACGACTGGACCAGGGTGCTGGGGCTCTACGACATCGCGACGGCATTTTGGCACGCCGACTTGCCGCTAGATGAGCCGATCACGGTGATCCCGCCTAGAGGCGAGGAGGGCCCAGGGATGGTGTGGCAGATGTTGAAGGCCCTGTATGGGGCACGCCGCGCGCCCCAGTTGTTCCTCGAGTTCATGGTGAAGGTCTTCGACCAGTACGGCTACCAGGTATTGAAGGCCAGCCGCCAGATCTTCTACTCGAAGCAGAGCGACTCCTTGGCTGGTCTGTGGGGCGACGGCATCATCGCCGAGGTGGAGAGCGAGGGCATCGACCACCTTGACGCCATGATCAGCCAGCTTTGCAACATCAAGGTGCTCCGTCGCGTCGGGCCGGGCTGTAGTTCAGTGGGCCGTTACCTTAAACGTTATTTATGCTATTTGCCTGGGTTTGGTTACGAGTGGAACGAGGACCCAAAGCACGTAATGATGTTGTTGGAGAGCACCTGCAAGCTCAAGGCGAAGCCGCAAGGGAGCCCATGTAGCAAGCACGTCGGCAAGGACGATCCCGCGATCCTCGACGAGCTCGACGGCGAGGCGCAGACCAAGCATCGCAGCGACACTGGTCGCGTGCTCTACGTGTCGCCCGGCCGCTTCGACATCCAGTACTCGGCGGTGGAACGGGGCGAGGAGATGTCTACGCCTCGTAGGCTAGGCGACGCCAGGCTGGACCGCTGCGCGCGGCACCTCACAGGACGCCCCTTCCTGGCTCTCGTCTTCAAGCACGAGCGGGAGGCAGGCGGCTCCAGGATTCCAGTCGACAGCAACCGGGCGGAGGAGCCGGACCTTTATTCGGCCCATGCTGGTTGCGAGTTTGTCGGCTCGCATTTGATCGATTCCTGGGTCGTGGCGCGCCAGGTCCGCGCCCTCTCCAGCGCGGAAACCGAGCTTTACGGCATCGTCGACGGTGCGGCCAGAGGCATTATGACGCAGAACCTCTTCCAGGAGATCGCGGACATGCGCGGCGCCGTAGCGGCGTGGTTGGCGATAGTCGGCAGCGACGCCAGCGACGCCATCGGCATCAGCTCGAGGAGCGGCGTGGGGAAGACCCGCCATATCGCGACGCGATGGCTTTGGGTCCAAGACGCCGCCCGGGAAAAGCAGATCATCCTGAAGAAGATTCCCGGCGAGACCAACGTCGCCGACCTGGGGGCGAAGGCTCTCGAGCCGAAGAGGCACCAGGAGCTCGTGAAGAGGCCCCCGCTGGCGAAACCCACCTGCCGGCGATTCTTGGCGGCGCTGGCGGATATGGCAGCGACGCCGGAGACGCAGGAGGCGCAGTGACAGGCGCCGTGCGTTTATGCATCCACTTCGCGGCAGTGGGCCTGAGGCCCTGCCACCGCCTTGAAACAGCCATGGCTGAGGTGGCTGTTGCCCAGGCTGCGGTTAGCCCCGCGCCTGGGCCGCTGGTCAGCGGACGCCCCGCAACAGCGCCCGCGGCTGCGGCTCCAGGCCGCGACGGCGGATGAGCCTCGGGGAGGCGGCCAGAACGCAACCCAGAGATGAGGCCGCAGGAGACCCCATCGCGTTACGATGGATGAGCCTTCGGAGGTTCTGCACCAGAAGGCGTTGTGAGCCGGCGGAGGCGGCGCGCTGGTGCTCCAGCCGATGAGGCCTTGTGAGGCCGCGGCCTGGGCTGATGGAAGGTACCCCGCGCCCGGGACTAAGGCTACTGTAGTGAGAGAAGGCAGTGCTAGGCGACTGTCCCGCGCCGCGCCCTGAGGAGGCGTGGTGAACGACATAGCCTAGGAAAGCGTTGGTAGCAAGCCTGATGTAAGTCTGTGCATAGCATGTCGTAGCAGTAAGATAGGACGCAACAAAATAGAACCACGTCCCGCAAAAACGGAACCAACACGCTGGTTGGTCCCCCAGCGTTGCGTTTGACTTGCCATACGCCGCCAGCGTCTGGCTCAAGCGTCCGAGCGTGGGGGAAAATAGCTCCCCAGTCTTCCCCTCCCATCTGCGATCACTCCCGCGTTTTTAATACACGCGCACAGGTTCTTGAAAAAACGATTATTTCATCAAGCGAGGGACAGATTTATTTCATTGCGCCGCCGAATCAAAACACAACAAAACATCACTTAGCAAACGCAAGAACCGGCTTACTAAATTCCAAGGTGGATTTTCTAAATCTGGGGCCGTTTTTCGAAATCCCAGATCCCATCAGTACCATGACATGAGTGGCTCGATGATGTGCGGCGCATTGAAAACCTTCTGTGGAAAAGCACACGTCGGCGCTAACGCGCGTTCTGAGGATCATCGAGATGAGCGGCCAACGCATCGATGGTAAGAGAAAGCTGGCCGTGAATGGGACTCGGAACGGGCACTAACAGGAAACAGGACGAAGCATTCTCGATCCACGCCGCCGGGATGTGCCAACATCTCGACCGCCCCGAGATACGCAGGTGTACTCCAACGGTTACTGGAAGGTATTCTTCCCCGAAGGTGACATCATAATGGCATGCAGATGCTGAAGGTTCTTCCCCAAGGGCCCAATATCCAAGACCCAAGACGCACGACAGCGTCGCGGCGGCCGAGGAATGGATGAACGTGTCCAAGCGGGAACACCTGCATCATCGAGGACACAAAAACTCCCAACCCGAATGACAGAGTGAAACCGTGGCCTCACTGAGGCCCCCGTCTTTGCACCAGGGGTGACACATTTGTGCGGTTTGGCTTGGTATATCTGCAGGACAGACCCCCTGGCCCTGATGTTTTTTGCCTCCTAATTAAGGTCGCCTCCCAAAGGGTTTGGGGCCCTTGCAATGATTGCTGATCAACAGCAGGGCGAAGGCCCGAGGGTCGAGAACCGCGCGCCTGCAGCAGAGGATGCCGAACGGCCCGTTGGACTACAGAGCGACGCGTCACCGGCGACGTCGACCCAGGAGGCGTTGTTCTTGGAATCGTTAGAGGAAACAGACGTGAACGATATGCTCGCCTCTCACCCTGGGCCACCCAGGGGGACGTATCGATCCCAAACCGCCCACCATTGCCGATCCACCCCGCCCCCGAACGCGCGGGTTCGTAATCGAGGAATCAGACATGGACGATTGGACTGCAGCGACGTGTCATCGGTGATGTCGACCACGGAGGCGTTGTTCCTGGCACTGTTTGAGGAACAAGGAGCAACGATGGGGTGGATAGGCATAGGGGATGGGCGGGCGCATCGACCCCCAATCGCCAATTGATCGCCGAGAGGGGCCCGACAGCCCAAACCGGCCCAGGAACGTGAAGATTCGCTACCAGGGGTAGCCGATCTATCGGCGACGTATTGCCGATTCCAGGTCGATGTTTCCCCCCCTTCGCCAGTCCCCCCAATAGAGGTCCTTCAAGGAAGCAGACGCGGACGATATGGACGCGTCTCCAACATATTTTGGCTGTCTCTTTAGGCCACTGGAGGAGGCAGCCCGGAGTTGAGCATTGGAGGATCGGCGCATGCTGTACAAGGACTTTGGGATCCCTTTGAATCATTCAGACGCTGGAGAATAGCACTCTGAAGCGTGTGTACAACCCGGAACGAATGTACTGGATTCTTCGTTGTGAGGCTGGGTACATCAAAAAACAAATAGGGAAAGTCATATCAAGCGAGACGCCTGCGAAAACATTCGGGAATACCCCGCTCTGCTGTGGATGTGCAAAGGCCAAGGGTTGTCTCGACTGGCGCACCGCCAATTGCTGTCGATGCGGAAACTGGCTAAACTTTGGACGCCAATGTTGTGAAGCGATGTGTGGTCGCACTGGCGAGTTTCCATTTGCGTTGGCTGGCGGATGTCGCAAACATGGCAGACCGAGGAGTTCTTGGAAACGCAATGTGTGCGAGATGTCCCGCAAAGCAGCCGGTAGCCAGGCGTCCCTTCACAGGCTCTGGCGCCAGGATTCCATATCTTGCCTCTACAGTCCCTGTGCTCTGCTTCCCTCATATCATCATCATAATCATCATCATCATCATCATCATCATCATCATCATCATCATCGTCATCATCATCATCATCATCATCGTCATCGTCATCGTCATCGTCATCGTCATCATCATCATCATCATCATCATCATCCTCTGTATTACTTTCGGTATATTCGTTTCACCTTGTTGCTAACGCACCTCTGACGCGCACGTTTTTTTTTGGGGGGGGGGGGGTGCCTTTGTCGCCACGGTTGGATTCGCCCCAGAATCTTGGTTACAACGCAGTGGGAGAGGTCAATGGGTGGAAGTATTGGCGCAGGCCGGTATTTTGTTGTTCCGCCAGGGGCGAATGCACTGCCACTCCGCGCTGCCCAGCTGGTGTCACGCGTTTTGCCGTGCCAGTGGTGATGGGCGGCCCGACGCTACCTCGAGGCCCCAAGCGGAGCTGCCAGTCAGGGTAGCCCGTCCGTCGCTTGCGCGCCCAGGCAGCGGATACGGCGGTGCGCGCTGTCCTCCAGCTGTTTCGGGAGGCCCGGTGGCCAGCACGCCCACCGCCAGAGGCGGACGAGGAAGTCCAGGTGCCCTGCGCCTGGTCGGCCACAAGGGCCGCAGTAGTTCGGGCTCGGCCAGGCCGCTGGCGGTGGAGCCCCGAGGGCGTTGTACGCTGCCCGTCGCGCAAGGGCCTCAGGCCCTCTCGCAGTGCGCGAAGGGGGCGGCGCCTGGCACGCCCGACGCGCGAGCCGCGGCTGGCGGGCCAGCTCGACCCTCGCGCCGCATGATTGCGCCGCGCGGTGCCAGGAGCGAGCGCTTTCCGCCCAGGGCGCCGGTTCCCCTGAGCTCCCCGCGCCATGGCCGGGCCGCGGCCACGAAGGGAGGGGGCTCAGGGCGAGCAGGTCTCTGCAGGACGCCCTGTGCCCTGTGCCGTTGGTTTGGCTCGGGGAGGACGCCAGGTCTCGGCAGTCGAGGGCTCGGGCCCAGCGCGGTGTCCCCCGAATTCGTTGGGGAACCGCGCGCGGGCAGGAGGCGACTGCCCGAGCAGCCTTGACTCTCATGAGCGCGCAGTCCACTGCCTCCGGCGCACCACGCGCGCAGGGCGGCAGGGGGGCCGGCAAAGCAGCCCCGGGATCGGTCCCTGGCGCTGCGCGGCGGTCCAGCTCGCGTTCACAGGGCGCTCGTCGCTGGGGGGCGCCCGAATGTTGTAGACGCGTGTCGCGGCGGCGTGGCGTGGTTGGCAGGCGCGGTGCTGTCGTGGGGCGCACGGCGCCCGATCAGTTCTGCTCGACCCGCGCCATCTGCGGGTCGACCGCGCACGCTTCGGCTCACGGCCTCGCGGCTGCCTTTTCCTCTGGCGTCGCCCTTTCTATTGCATCCCCGCGCGTCTTTCCGAGGCGCTCTTCCAGGAGGATGAGGACGAGGAGGGGGACTTCTCACGAGCATGACCAGGAGATGGAGGAGGAGGAGGAGGAGGACGACGACGAAGATCGGGAGAAGAAGCATGATGAATGCATCGTTCTCCTTCCCCCTCTTATGCTTGACTCTGCTGCTGCTGCTCCTTCTCCTCTTCCTCCTTTTCCTCCTCCTGTCGTAGTCCTCCACTTCCTCTTTAGCTAGTCCCGTTCCCAGATTGCTTCGTTTTTTTGCCACATTGTGTACCGTGACCGTAACAATTTGATGTGGGGTGTGCCTTCCCACGTCAATACCCCCAGGGGCGAGCCAAGATTGTGGTGCGGTACAACCCCGACAGGGGCAATCTCGACAGCCTGGTGAACCAACTTCAGGTGGACCCTCGCCTTGCTGCGAGGAACTCGTGCGCTGGGTCGCCCATCATCCCGCCCCCTGTTACAGTCAACCCGCACAGTAAGGACGGGCAGCCTTCCCAAGGGTACCCTTGCATCCTTGCCTCATCGGTCCATCCTTGGCCATTTTCGCTGGCCGCGCCCCGCTCGAAAAGCTTCGAAATGGGCGTTCAAGGCCCTTGCATCCTTATCGTGCGTCCTTACTACACTTGCTCTTAGGTCCTGAGGGCATCTGGGATAGCCTGCACACACCCTCCGTCTTGCGACCGCGGGACGAAGCCCACACTGAAAGCATGGAGCGGCTTAGCATGTACATGATCTCAGCGTTCAACCAACAGTTCGCCGAGGGGCTACGGGAGTCAATGCAAATTTTCCCACAATTACCCTTAGTATAGATACTGAGTTTTTTAGATACTGAGGCACCTTCTTCGATTGCGTAGGCACTAGTTTCAGCAACGGTTCTCGTACGCCTGACCTGGGGGTGCGGGGCGTCTCAGGTGCAAGCGCTCTCAGAGCAGCCCTGGGCAGTCTTTCACTCGTGCGGCACACCTAACGGGGGCAATGTCCGCTGCTCGAGCGTGCGATGATTTGGCAGTCTTGAGGCTTTGCCTTTGGTGACCTGCGCCTGGCCAGGAGTCGCCAGAACGAGGGGGTGACTTGCTTTCGAGTTTCGGAGCCCCGTTCTCAGTTCTCATCGGGGGGACTGCACACTACCCATTGTGGGATCGCGCTCTGCGCCGTGACAGCGAGGCACTGGTGACCTGTCAGCTCTCGAGTGTAGTATACGTACTTATCACGAGCAGGTGAATATTTCACGAAGTGGTCCTCTATGCTGCCTTATAAAAATAATAACCTTACTACACAGGTTGGCTGTAGCTCATCTGGGCCTCGGCTCCGTGTGTCTGCCCTCGGGCTCCGTCGCGCGCTCGCCTCAGCTCGGCACCGCTGTCGTCAACGCCGTGTGCCCCAGTCTGTCGCCCTCCTCAGGTCTCGGCCGCCGGGTCGCCCATCCTTCCCCCATCTCAGCACATCTGTCTGTTTGTCAGAGGCGACGATGGGGGCGAATAGCCCAGGGGGGAGCAATACATATATCCAGGGGCGCCGATGATTTATGTCTTCGACAAGGCTCCCGGGCGAATACGTGTAATGCCCGCCCCTGGGCTATTCGCCCTTGTCATCGCCGCCGAGTTTGTTTCGAAGAGGCGAGAGAGAGAGAGAGGGATCGAACACCAGTGAAAGCGTGCGCAGGGATTCAATGCCTTGTGCTTCTTGGAGGTCTTCTCAGGGCCCAGCTTGGGATGCCCTGGGTCTTGGGGCACCGTGGGGCCGTCTGAAGGTCATCTGGGGCCGTCCTGCAGTGACGACTGGTGCCGTCTTCAGTCGTCTCAATGCGCGCCTGCCTATCCTCCGCCTCACCACACGCTCGTCTGTTCTCCACCCTTGGCCTCACCACCTGCGCCGCTGTGTTCCGCATCCTTTTGTGCTCCCTCTCGGCGCTAGTCCCGCGTCCGCCCAGCCCGCGGCAAGGCGGCGAATTTGCGAGTTTCCATGTGAGGAGCGGCGCCGAGGCCACTCCTCTCCGAGGCGGGGGTTTATCCACGAGCGCCGCCTGGGGGATCGATCCTCGTGGACCTCGGCAGGCGGTCCACGGATACATTCGGCTCCCCTGGGGCCAAAATGCATTCATATCCACCGCCCGGACGTCCGCGTCGCATCCTCGGGGGTGGGACGGCGGGGGCTTCACGGGGCGAGCTGCTCTGGCCACACCTCGGCGCAGACAGGCTTTCGTGTGTCTGATGTCCTCTGGGCCCGAGGACGGACGGACCGGCGGAGGCCCTGGGCAAGGGGCAGCGTTAGGGAAGACAGGTTCCAGTCGAAGCGCATCGACCCCCAATCGCCTGTTATTCGCCGGCACGGATTTGATGGCCCACCCCTCTAAGGAAATTGTAGATTCGCTATCGGGGGCACATTGCTAATATATTGGCGATGTGTCGTCGATTCCAGCTCCGTGCTTCCTCTCCCTGAGCAGGTCTCCCCCTGTCGCTGCCCCTCACAAGAAGAGGGGGTCAAGGATCGGGTCGGAGGGAAGGGGCGCTTAGTCAAGAGGGGTAAGCGAGTCAGCTCACGCTTCTTTTTGTTTCCCAGCACGTCCCGGCGCCGGAGGCGCCAATCGGCGGCGGGGTGACCGAACCGAGTTGCGTACAGCAGATTTCGCACCACCCTTGTCTCTACCCCGCTCGTTTGTTCGCCCCGGAAGGACTAGAGGTGTGTGGGCTCGAGAGAACTCACAATTCCATTCATTATTCAGGGTGGTGCGCAGCTGGCACGAGTGTTCTGAGCAGCCCTCTTCTTGGAGGCGTGCCCCCACGTCCTCCGTGTTTCGGGGCCCTCGGCCTTGGAATGCTCCTCGCTCGGGGTATCTCCCCGGGGACCTGTGCCATCAGTCAAGCAGTGGCGAAGCGTCCTGGCTCGCCTATAGCCCTACCAAACAATGTTCTAAGAACCTTCTGTGGTTTCCACGAAGTGTTTTTAGAACCTGTCTGGTTGATATCGGCTTGTTTTAACACATCGGTTCTATGTTCTAAGAACATCGTTTTTGTTATTAGAACATGTTTGGGTTCTAAGAACATTTCGTGGTAAGGCTATAGGAATGCTGGGACGGTCGGTCCCTGCTCAAATCAGCGTAGGGGTGATGTCCTCAATTCGCGTTCTTGTGGCCATGCTCCGATCGTACATCTTGCCTCTGCCTGGTTCAGTTGAGCTCGTGGGTGTCGGCAGCGCGCTGAGGGGCGGTTGGGGCGAAGGGGGCGTGGCATTCGGAGCAGGCCGAAAGGCCTTCCTCGGGGCCCTCCAAGCCTTCCGAGAGGCTCTTCTCACCGAAGCCTCGGAGCCCTTCCGAGAAGCCAGGGTCCTGAGCAAAAGGGGTCCCTTCGCCATTTTCGACATCCAGAGGTTTTTCCTGGACCCTGGGGCTTTCAACAGAAACAACGCAGTCAGGACCCCCTTCCCTCGGCACATGTGACAGAGGGGGAAAGGGAGCAAAGCGGGGCAGCACGTGAGCTGTCCCGTTTTCCCCCCTTTGCTCCCTCCCCCTCCCTCTTCTCTGCCTCTTCCCTCCTCTTCCCCTCCCCTCCCTCTTCCTACCCCTCTCCCTCACGCGGTGTCTGCCCACTCCCTCTGTGGATCACAGGGCTCGTGATGGACAGACTTTCCGCAGCCGTGCGCTAGTCCCTCTCCCTGGAGCGTATTTTTCTTTCCTCTGGCGATGGCGAGCGTGACCTGCGGAGGGCCCCCCCTGCCCATTCCCAGTCGGCGAAGGCGCGAATCGAGACGCTGTCTGGGGTAGGGGGGGAGGAGTTGCGGCCCCGGTACTGGGCGCCATCGCGAGCAGAAAGGAAAGCACGGGCTCCTGGATGTCAGTAGTCATTTGCCAACGCTCTTGCAACCAGCGGGCGTGGTGCCGCGCGGTACGGCGCTGCGGGTGGAGGCGCGGACGCGCGGCGCGCGCAGCAACAGCGCGCCGCGATGTGGGCGTCTGCCCCTTCGGCCCCTCGTCCCTGCTCCCTCGAGACATCGCCGAGTTCCCTGGCATTTCCCTTCAATCTGTGGACAGGCGAGCAAGAGCTCGTTCGTCGGGTGCCCCCTGCAGGCTTGCTCCCAGGGGTCAGACGAGAACATGGCCCTGCGTCCATGTCAGCTTGCACCGCCGCCGTTTCGGGAACTGGTGGTTTCCTCGCCCCCCTCTTGCACCCCATCCCATGCCGCCATTAGTTACGCCTTTCGGGTGAACTCGTGTCGCTCCAGTCCGCCGACGTCCGCGCTGAGTTGGCTGACTAACGATTAATTGCCGATCGTCGGATTGTCGCACCCTCTTCTTGTCGCTTCCTCCACGCACGAAAGCTGAAGAGAAGCAACATCGAACAATGTGACCATGACCTCCAGTCGTCATGAAAAACACTAAACTTGCGGTGTTGGCCCGTCTCGGGACCTCCAGCTCGCCAATATCCTCCGGGCTCGGCAGATAGATGGTTTCCTAAATATGGGGACCACTGTTCCTGCCATGTTGTTCTACCACGTCGTGGGTTTATCACGGCATCGGATCTCATCCTTTGCTCTGGACCGATGTGTACACCCTCCAGGCCTAGGCCAGTGGTTTCTACACGTTTGTTCGGGACCCGGGATCGACCTGGCCAGGGTCCGTGGTGGGGGTTTCTGACAGTCCTGCAGGTACACGGGTTCGCTCCTCTTCTTTCCCTCACCCTGCTCCGCCTTTTCCGTTTTCTCGATGGCCTACAGTCAATCCATTTCGAAGTTTTTGAGCGGGGCGCGACCAACGAAAGTGGCCAAGGATGCACCAAGGAGGTACGGATGCAAGGGTACCCTTGGGGAGGTTGCCCGTTCTTCTTAAGCGGGTTGACTGTATCTCCATTTGCCACTGCGCCCCATGCCCCTCGACATCAGCTCTTCTCTGGCTTGCTGCTCCGTTGCTCTGCCCAGTCCACGCCTGACGACTGTCGCTTGTTCAGCGCACTGGGAGAATACACAGACAAGGCGGACATACACACGTAGTCAGAAAGGCAATGCATCCTCAGCATATCTGCTCTGCCTCTCCTGTGTTTGAGACTGTGATGTTTGTTGCTTGGCGATTTGCAGCAGCCGGCATCAAGCAGCTTGACCGTTGACAGTGCGGGGTGGGGGGGCTCGGGCGAGAGCTCTTCCTAGAGCTCTCACCACGCATGTCTTGGGAAGCCGTGCTGCAACATTGCCGTCACATTCTCGTCCCAGGGAGGGGATGGGGATTTGGCATCGCTTGGACGTGTACATGTTTTTTCTCGGCAGGGGCCATCGATGCGCATCCTGGATCATCGAGCAAAAAACACGCACGAAACGAACCATGTATGGGGAATGAACGTCCGAGCTATGGCAAGATAATGCTCGATGGAGAGGGGCAGGGGAAAGGGAGAGGAGCAGGAGGAGGAGGACGACGAGGAGGAGGGCTGGGAGCCCTTGCCGCGTGCACTCAGCGAAGCCCTGGCCATGGAGGCACCCAGTATTCGCAAATTGTTGTTGGCTGCCATCTTCTTCCCAGACGTTCAACGTGATGTCTCTTTTGTGACGTGGGCCTGGACTTCTCGACCCATCCCATGGACGTGTCGTCGTTACAGGTCGTTTCTTCTTGGCCCCTGGGGCCGAAACGGGCTTCAGTGGCCCATACTTCGAAACACACACACATACACACATTCAGCGATCGCAGCCTGCTCTTTCTCCTGCTCCGCTTGCTGCTTGCTCCTCCCTCCCTCCGTCCCGGCCCTCCTCTCCCTCGCCCTACCTTCCTCCTCCTCCTATTCGTCCCTCCTCCTCCTCCTTCTCCTCATTCCCCCTCCTCCCTGCCCTTCCCCCCGCTTGCCCCCCCACCCCCCCGCCTCGTCTCCTTCCTCCCGCGCCCTCTCCCCCCGCGCGGCGGCCGCAGTCGGCCTCCCCCGCTGCCGGGGGGCGGCCCCCCCCAAACCCACCCGCCCTCCGCGTCCGCGCGCGATCGCTGCCCGCGCGGGGTGGCACGAGGCGCACCCCCATCTCCAGAGGAGTGGACGGGGGAGGGAGGGAGGAGGGATTGGGTTGAGGAGGGAAGGAGGGAAGGAGTGGGAGGGGTTTGAGGTCCGTAGCCTGGCTCAAGCCGTTCTGGCTCAAGGTGGTCGGCGCGACCTGGGGCCAGTTTTTCCCGAACTTCTCCTGCCTCGGGCAGGAGCGAACATCCTAACGATTCATCCAGTTCAGACTCTTCCCGCAATGTCCTGGAAGTCTTGGAACGGCAAGGGCGGCGCAAAGGCCTACAGCTGGACCTGCAAATGCTGTGTGGCTTCAGTCTCGTGGAATCTGTCTTGGTGTTGGCGTTGTGGCGAGTTCGGCCAAGAAAGAGGAGCCAGCTGCTGCAGCTGGCCCCACTAAATCCGAGAAAAAGAAGGGACGTCGCAAGGGAGGAGGCAGGGCAATCAGTGCGCCGCCAGGAGGAGGATCTTCTGGTAGCGCAGGGTCTGGTGCAGGAGGGCATGACCTTCCCCCTGGGTCGCCCGCCGCCCCCGCAGCCGCCGCGGCCCAGGCCACAACAGCGGCAGCCATGGAGGTGGAACAAGCGCCTCCAGACATCTCTGGACAGCAGCTCCAGGTTTGCCAACAGGCACTTGACATCATGCGCAAGCTCGGCGTCAAAGGTGCCAAGGCCCAGCAAGAATTGGAGAGCACCTTGCAGTCCGTCCGCGAGGAGAGGACCGCAGCCAAGCCCATCAGTGCCAAGCTCCAAGCGGCAACCGACAAGAAGATCAAGCATCATAAGCAGTTGGAACGCCATGAAGAACAGCTCAAGTTTTATCGTCTCAAAGTGGAGAATGCCCGCCAGCATCTCGAACAGCAGGAAGCACTTGTGGCCCAGGAGCAAGCCGCCATCGAAGAGACCAAGATCAAGATCGCCGAGGACGAAAAGGCAGAGGCGGCGGCAAGAGCCGCACCGCCAGAGCAGGAACCGTCCGTCCTGCAGAATCTTGATACTGTGCCTGCTGATCAACTTCTGGCTGGCATCAGACTCAAGGCCAGCGCCGTGGCTGCAGAGAAGCAGAGCGAACTCACGGACCTTTTCACTAAGCTCAGTACGCTGCTCACGTCCGACAACGGTCCGCATGGTGGAGGTAAAGCGTCAGGTCATGCCCCAGCAGCCCCTGCCGGAGGTGAAGGTGCCGAGGCCAGCAGCACAAGCTAAAGGACCCCCAGCAGCTGGACCTGGCAAGCCCGCCATGCCACCGCAGCGAGTACCGCCAGTACGTCAGCCACCAGCGGGAGAACCAGTTCCAGCTCCCGCCCGCCGTTCCCGATCGCCAGCGCGAGCTGGCGCCAAGAGTGAGGGAACGCCTGCCGCTGGCCAGGCCAGCATCCCCAAGCAGTTGGGGTAATGCACATCTCACAGTTGTCACTGCAAACACCTCGTCCTGGAAGACTGTAATACACTTTTTATCTAGAGTGCAGAGATCTGTGGACGTGGTGTTCATTCAAGAACATAGATTAAGGTCCCAGCAGATTCCTGACGCCCAGCACACCTTAGGTCTCCAAGGGTGGGCTGGTTTCTGGGGTCCTTGTATAGTCACCTCTGAGAATAGGGATTCGGGGGGGGGGGGGGGGGGCATTCTAATTCGCAAACACTTAGATTCCTGGCAATCATCTGTGTCTAGAAGCGTCTTGGCTCCTGGGAGGATAGTGCACGCGTTTCTTAGGACACGGAGTTTTGGGATTGTCAGTCTATATTGCAACTACTGGGTGGATTCAGTCGGGCCCACCAGGGCCAACTTGGTGTTATCCAAGACCCTGGGGAACCACATCCTGGCTTCTGGAGTGCCCTTTGTCGCGGGTGGTGATTTCAACATAAACCCTGGGACTCATATCGAGCACATGAGGCCCAACAAGTACGGAGGATAAGTTTCCACGCCCAACGTTCCCACATGTACGATCGGGAACGACAGGACGACGATCGACTATTTTATTCTCAGCCGCTTGCTAACGTTCAGCTACGAGTGGATCAAGGTAGATGAGGGGGCGATCATCCCGCCCCACAAGCCAGTTGTGGCGCCCCTGAGCAGCGCTGCTGAGGACATCTGGGTTCAAAGGATGTCCAAATATCAGAATCTTCCAGCGGAGATCCCCATAGGCCCTGTCGGGCTTCAGCCCGAGTATGGTGACCTTGTGAGTGAAATCCACAACCTGCTCGAGGACTTCCGCCACCCGCCAGGATCAGGTTTCAGAGCGCCGACAGGAGAAGGTGAAAAGACCATCCTGCAGGCCGCGCTCGACAGGATATACCCCAAGTGGACTTCGAGGACTTGGGGCGAGTTGAAAGATCGGTATCAAGTTTCAGAGGTTCACAGTGCTGAGGGAGGTCAGCCCTTCACCTTCGAAACGGTTAGGCTCTCGGAACTCCTCCTCACCTCCAGGAACCCTTTCCCCAGTGAAAGCAGATGCCTGACCTGGATGATCAGGAGATTGAAAGAATTTGAAAGCCTCAAGATCTCGGGTAGCAGTCATTGTGCAGCCTGGCACCGCCATGCTTTGAATCTGCCAGTCCGAGGAGGACCCTTCAGGACACTGTGGAAGTCGCGCAGCGACTTCTGGCACGCCTTCTGCCACGAGATGGCCTGCTCGCCCAGGCTGAAGGCAAGCGCGCGGAGTTTGTGCAGATGGTCGATGTTTGGATTCCTGCGTTGGAGGAGCTATGCGACGTCTACCCCAAGAAGGAGAGGAAGGAGGCCCTGGAGAGATGGGAAGATTTTTGAGGAAGCATTATCAGGAGGAGCCAGGCGAGGACACAGCAGCACGAAGGTTTCGTCTGTCTTTGTCGAGGATCAGGTCATGCATGCAGATGGAGCTTAATCCACAGCCTCCGGCCTGAGATTTCAAGAGCAGCACGATATCTGGAGCAAGGCATGGGGCGCGCATGAGCCGCATGCCAGTCTGGAGGGCCCCCTGGGAGCCAACTATGTGCTCCCTGAAGGGCCCACCTCAGATCAGATACGCAAAATATCATCCATATTCAAGCTGCATACAACTGCTATCGACGGATACCATCCCGAACACTTCTCGCAGCTCTCCGAGGGCGCCCTAGAGGTCCTGAGGGGTCTCTTCGACATCATGAATATCCTAGGAAGTAGCCCGGCACATTTGAAGGAGCTTATCGTTGCCTTGTTTCGCAAGAGTGCCAGTGGTCGTCGACCAATAGGATCCTTCAAGAGTTCCAGCCGCATTTATTCTAAGAGTCTCGCGCGCCACTGCAGACAGTGGGAGCAGGTGTCAGCCAAGTCTAAGCATTTCAATATGGCGCCCCATCGACGCACCACGGACTCGCTTTGGAGAGCGGTTGTGCGCGCAGACGTGGCAGATCACCAGGGCCGATTTGTAGGGATCCTCCTGGCCGACCTTAAGCAGTGCTATGAACACATTTCGCATCGCACTATGTTGACTGAAGGATCCAGATGTGATTTCCCATTTTTTCCCCTGCGAGCGTCTCTGGATTCATACCGATGGCCGCGCAGGTTACTCATGGACCAGGTAGTAGGGGATGCTATCGAACCGCGCCGAGGGATAGCGGCTGGCTCTTCGACGGCGACTTTCGAGGTGAAAGGTTACATGCCCCCGACGATTCACGAGACGCGGATTAATAACGGCACCAGCATTTCGATTCACATAGATGATATTACGTTCGATTCGATAGGCGGCACGATCGAGATGTGCTTGAATGGGTTAGCTGATTTGGCGGGCCGAGTATTCGCTAAGTTCACCTATACCCTGGAACTGCCTATCCACATGAAAAAAATAATTTCACGTCCAACAGTTTCGAAGTCATGAAACAGGCCCCAACCGCCTCGGGTGAATATTCTGGAACGATTGCGAATTCGATCGCGAACCTGGGGGTGGACTTTAACGTGGGCAAGGTCAGGGCCGCCAAGGGATGTCGGTCGAAAAAATCATCCATATGGAAAGCCAATTGCAGGAGATTACCAGAAATTCGCAGACTCAGGGACCGCGCGCTGGGACGACCGCAGAAGGTGAAGATCTACACGTGTGGGTTGAAACCGTCGATCTGATATGGCGAGGAGGCCCAAGGCCACCACCCCCAGGAGTTGAAGAAGCTCAGAGTACAGACGGCTAGGCTGTTTGGTTTTTGGTCTCCAGGAGCTGATATTGATGTTGCGTGGCTGTTCAAGCCCACTGCGGATCCTATCCGCCACGCTGGCGCCACCCTTCGTAAGTATTGTAAACAATGGTGGATGACGACGCATAAGCAGATACGCACACCAGACACTCTGACGCCCAAAGAGCTACGTTTGAGTTTCGAGCACTCCCTGGACCTCTTCAAGGAAACCTTTCCAGACAAAGGGCGGCCGTACCGAGTAAGGAGCCCCACTACTGATGTTCTCTTTTGGATTGAACAGGCAGGCTGGAAGTTTAAGGGCCCAGCCAAGCTGATCACCGTGAATGGGCTCGAGCTCGATGTCACGGGGTCTTCGCCTGCCTTGATGCAAACAATGTTTACGGCAGGTTTACAGGGTAACTTCCTGGGACGTGCTGTTCGAAGGAAGCCCCCGTACCCTGGAGACCCTGATGAAGATATCCATCCCAGGGCCAATGATTTAAGGGAAGGAGGCCTCTGGGGGCATCCTGTCTGCAAGGCCTGGAACAGTACAAAATGGGGTTGTTCTGCTAAGCGCATCTTGAAACACCTAGTCAACGGGACCACGCCGACGAGCCACCTACTATGGAAGCGGGGCTTCAAGGTCGAGCCGACCTGCCTGTACTGCGGCTTGTGCGACGCGATCTGTCATCGGCTCTGGCTCTGTCCACGCGGGGATCCAGCAAGGAATGGAATCGATCAAGTCATCCTGGATGCGGCTCGCAATTCTGCGGGCAAGGACCCCTTGCACACTAGCCCCTGGACCCCCGTGCCCGAGATAAAGCAGCAGCCCCCCGACGATGACCAAGTTGAGTACACCGGCAGGGGGGCGAGATTGACGAGTTTGATTTCACATGCCCCACTCCGATCTTCATCGATGGAAGCTGTCTGGAACCTACTAAGCCTGAACTGGCCCGAGCGGGCTGGGCGGCTGTGGAAATGACTGCTGGAGGTAATCTGAAGAGAGCTGTTAGGGGTCCACTGCCAAAGCGTTTTCCCAAAAGTGCGACGTGGGTTGAACACCGCGGCCTTCTCCAGGGACTCCGACACCCCTGGCAAGACCCAGCAAGATTCGATGAAGAAGCAGATTTGCATACTGACTGCCAGGCCCTACTGACAGGATGTGCCTTTGCATCCCGTGCCTTAGATGGCACGTCCCAACGGGCGGGGCACTGGCGCGCGATTCAGAAGCTAGACAGGCAGTTCACTATACATATGGTTAAGGCTCACCAATCACTTTTTCGAGGAGATCGGGAATGGGCTGAACAACTTATTGTCTTGGGCAATGGTTGGGCTGATGTTCTATGTCGTGAGGCCGCCAGAAAATTCGCCTGCCCCCAGGATGCCGATGCAGTGGAAGATTCCCTAGATGGCTGGTTTGCCGTGTTCAAGGCTGCCGTAGCAATCCTTGAACGTTGGCCAACGGCCCGCGAGATGCACGGAACTCTTTACAAAGAACCTACAAGTTTAAGGCCCCCCCCCAAAAAAAAACAAAAAACAAGGCAGCATCATGTCCCTTGGAACGGCCGTATCTGGCAATGTTAGGCTTGCGCCAAGAGTTTCAAAGCCCGCCTTCGAGAGAATCCAAATGTGCTGCTTTTCCACCCAGTTTTGGGGCCCTGGTCAGCGGTAAAGGTTTGCCTGTTCCAGGGCGCAAGCTGTGGGCCGCCAGAGTAGAAAGCTCTGGCATTCCTGTTCTGTATTGTTCCAGGTGCGGGTCTTATTGCACCAAGACTCCCAGGCATCTCCTGGGCCCCTGTGGACACAAGAAAATAGCCCAGGTACGTGATTTCCGCCGCGGGAGGCTCCCGTGGCCAAAAGGCACCCGCTTGAGCCGCCCCTGGCGCGTCCTCCACAGTCCTGCGGAGTGGTGGCATGACCAGGTAGGCAGCATGCGGGGCGCCACAGTAAAAGTTTGCCCTGACTTGTCGTGCCTTTTGGTTTATGCTCCGCTCGCGCGCACGGCCCGATGCGGCTGACCCTCAGGGCAGGCATCCGTGCGCTTACCCCACATCTGGGGCGCGGCTTGCCACCGTCCAGGCGCTGCCTGCACCTGGGGTGGTAGGTCGCGTCGTCCCTGTGTGGGTGGTCGATTGTTTATATTTGACATGTGCTTTCTTGTTTATGTATTTGATAATATCTCTGATGTAGTTGTGCCGACCATTTCATTTCAGCCTTGGCCGTGCCCCCCCGCCCGCACCCCTCCCGCCGCCCGACCCCAGAGGGGGTCGTTGGGCGGGGGTTGGGGCGCCCTACGGGGATATGGCCTGCGGATCACCCTTGAGCCCTTGGAGCCCTCGGCATCTGGGTTCTGGGCATCTTGTTTGCCAGCCTTGTGCGTACGACCCGATGCGACTGACCCGCGGGGCAGGCATCCGTGCGCTACCCCACATCTGGGGCATGGCCTGCAACCGTCCTGGCGCTGGCTGCACCTGGGGTGGCAGGCCGTGCCGTCCTTGTGTGGGTGGTCGAAGACTCTGAATTTTGATTTTGTATTTTGTGGATGAGGTGACCTGTTGCCTCATTATCGTTTTGGCCGTGCCCCCCTGCCCGCACCCCTCCCTCGCCCTGCTCGCCTGGGCGCTTGGGGGATCGTTGGGCGGGGTGGGGCGCCCTTAAGGGGCGGCCTGCGGATTGCCCCTTCGAGCCCCTTGAGCCCTCTGCAATGCCCCAGGGCTGGGTTTCGTGGGTGAGGGGCCTGGCCCAAGAGCGGCCGTGGCCCCGTCTCGTCTGTTTTGCGTGAGGTCAGGCGAGCCTAGTTTGGCTGACCTCCCGGCGGCCCATGAATGAATGAATGGATGGGGGGTTTGAGGAGGGAGGGAAGTAGGGGGAGGGGGCGGGAGGGTGGAGGGAGAGGGAGCGGAAGCGATACTTGTCAAGTGGCATGTGGCCCATCCCGCCACCGTGCCTGGGTCGTGGGCGACATGCGTTTGAGAGATTCCCTTGTGTTTGGGGCGGGGGGGCCTTGTGGGTGTTCTTGGGGCGTCAGGCAGGCATATTTGACATCCCATGGGGCTCTGTGGTATCTGGCTGTTGTGACGAGGCTCTGCAATAGTCCTCAGCATGCCACGATCTTGCGAATGTTGGCCCCCTCTTGAAGCCGACTTGCTAAACATGCACGTTTACCTTCAGGATGTTGAACGGTTTCTACTTTTTGGAATCTAGTCGGGGCGCTCGCGGGGGCCTGTGGGGAACAGTTTTGGGGGCATTTGGAGGCCTCTTGGGATCCTCTGGGGAGCCTCTCCGGGGCCTCTTGAGGATTCCTGGGTGCCTCTTCGGGGCGTTTGTGGCCTCTTGGGCGCCTCTTGAGGCCTCCTAACTCTTGCTGCAAGGCTTCGATCTCTTGAACTGCCGCTGGGACTCGGACCTGCATGTCATCGATCTTTTCCTGCTTCAGACGAATGATACTGGTCTGGTCTATAATGTGTTTTTGTCAAACTTATCTTTCTGATTCGCAGCCTTCGCCAAACGATGTCCACCATTCGTAAGTTGAATGAGCTGAGGTTCGAGAGAGGCCATCTGACGACGAGATGCCTGCAACATCTCCTCGAGGGCCTCCTTGGCGTATTTGCCAGCCGAGGCAAGTTTGTCGCCGTGGCTGTTTGCCACCCCCAACTGCGTGATACTGTCTCACACTTCGCTATCCTTCTGGTCGTTGGGTCCCGTCGTCGTATCGTGGTGGGCCCTAGGTGGAGGGGGTGGCGTGGGTTTGGCGGTGGTCTGGCCCTTGTCCGTTCTGTCAGGTTTGCCCGTGTTTGGTCTGCGGCTGTTTCCGGCCTGACAGAATGGGGCAGGGGAGTTGGCTTGCCGTCCCCATGTTGGACACTCAGAAAGGCCTGTCTCGCGCTGTGAGTGCACCGCGGTCCGGCGGGGCGCCCTGCGCGCTGTCTAATAATTGTTGGCATAGGAAATCTCTATACCAGTCGCCGTCGTCGAAGACTGGTGAGGGCTTGCAGAAGATCGATCAGCCGTGGGTTTATCGTGCCTCTGTTGCAGTTCGTCCAGCTGCTGCGCCACCTTGTTCGAACGACGTGTGCCACCAGTACCAGCACCGCGAGGCTGACGCGTGCTTTATGTTTTGCTGCGCGCCGTACTGCTGGAGGATCCTGCTCACCACACTGGCACACAACTCCGTAAGCCCGGTTGACGCTGGTGCCACATGAGCAAACCCACGTCGGCATCTTTGGTCCACGAGGAACCTCGGCGCCGCCATCGGCCATGAGGAGTGCCCCGCAATAGGGCCCGCAGTGTGTTCCCACAGGAGCTCAATCAAAAGGATGTCACCCGCTGGGGCGAGGATCGCGAACAGAGACAGTCAGGCCCGCAACACTACTTGGCCGTTCTGAAGTGGCATGCTGCTGCAAGCTCGGGAGCCTTGCCGGAGCCACAACGGCTTGAGAGGAGGAGGAGGGGAGACGAGGAGGAGGAGGAGGAGGAGGAGGAGGAGGAGGAGAATGATGATGATGAGAAGGAGGAGAAGAAGGAGGAGGAAGGGGCGAGGGGAGGAAGGAGGAGCGAGGAAGGAGGAGGTGAAGGAGGGGAGGGAGAAGGAAGAGGAAGAGGAGGAGGAGGAGGGGAGGAGGAGAGGAGGAGGAGGAGGAGAAGGAGGCGGAGCAGGAGGAGGAGGAGGAAGGCGTAGGAGAAGGAGGGAGGGGGAGGGAGGAGGACGAGTAGGAGGGGGAGGGAGGAGGACGAGTAGGAATAGGAGGGAGGAGGAGGAGGGAGGAGGAAGAGGGAGGAGGAGGAGGAGGAGGCGGAGCAGGAGGAGGAGGAGGAGGAGGAGGGAGGAGGAGGGAGGAGGGAGGAAGGAGGGCGGGGGCTGGAGGGAAAGGGTCATCCGCGATACCCTCAGGCCGCCCCGCTTGGCGGCATGAAGGCGGGCTCTCTCGCGCGGCCTTGCTCCCTAGCCTAGCCTCCCTGGGGACACGGCACTGTGCTGGGGGGGAGGAGGAGTCGTGCTCATCATTCCATTTGTTCCCAGGCCTTGCCTTGGTTTTCGCCTTCGCGATCTGTCTTCTTCCCTTGCTGCTGCTCCTCCTCCTGTTGATTCCTCGCCCTCTTGGCCTCCATTCTCTGCTCCCCCTTCCCCCGTGCCGCCGCTGCTGCTCCTGCTCCTTCTCGTCCTTATGCTCATGCCCCTCCTCCTCTGTTCCTTTCTCCGCCCCGTCCCTCCTCGTTGTCCTGCTGCTCTGCCCTCCCTGTTTTGTCGCATTCGTCTTCTCTCACGGCGGGGAGTGGCGCAGTTCCCCGCCCTCCCCCCCCGCAGGCAAGCAACAACGAAGACGGCCGACGCGCCAATAAGATTGCCGCAAAGACCCAGGCGCCCCCGCCCTCGTCCAAGGGGCGGGTGCGGCTCGGTCGTGGGAGGGGCGAGGAGGAGACGGGCTTCGCTCCGCTGGAGCGGGGCGCGAGTCACTGCCGCGCGCCCCTGGACGCAGGCCGCCGGCGCGCGCGCCTCACACCCTGGAGGTGGGTGAAGAACCCGCCCCCCCCCCCTCCAGACACGACTCCCAGAGGGGGAGGCCCCCACCGAGCAGACTGAGGGAGGCCCATGGGAGATCTGCGTGCCCGAGGAGGGACGACGACGATGACGATGACGACGACGACGACGACGACGACGACGACGACGACGACGACGACGACGACGACGACGACGACGGCGGCGGCGACGGCGACGGCGACGGCGACGGCGACGGCGACGGCGACGGCGACGGCGACGGCGACGGCGACGGCGACGGCGACGGCGACGGCACGACGGCGACAACGACGGCGACGACACGACAGGGAAGAACGAGCCGCCTTGTACGACCCCTAAGATCGGGGAGGCCAGGGGGTAAAGTGAAGCGCCTGGCCCGAACGAGTGACCTGCGCACCAAGCGGCCCCCTTGGGAAGGGGACCGTACTTTGGTGGCCATCCCCAGGTGCGGGGGCTCAATTCATCCTCTCTCTTTTGTGGATGCCATTCTCGAGGCAGGATGACTGGGGCATAGCCGGATACTGGTTGTCACGCTTCCGCACAGAGATCATGCGTCGAATATGTGCCGTTCGTGGTCTCCCCCCACCTAGAGTCGGCCCAGATTGATAGGTCGATATTGCCAAATCAAGGGTACCCTTGTGTCCTGCGTCTCGCGACCCATGCCTCCTACAATCCTGCGGCAACGCGGCCCTCGGAAGGGTCTTGAGTCCTCTCGCGTGTCCTCTCCGATCAAGTCCGACTGTACTCTTCTCCCGCTTCTCCAAACAACGTGAAACATCTCATCTATTTCCTTCCCCTTGGAGGCTTGCTGCCTCAGCTCTTGACGCTTCGCGTTTCCCCGACCGACCGCCAGTCCAGGCGATGATTAGGCGAGTCGTCGTGAGAACCGCATCTTGGCATCGTTCGGACGTGTTGTTTTCTCAGCAAGGTTCATCGAGGAGCATGCTGGGTCATCTTGGGCAAAAGGCACGCACGAAGCCGAAACATGCACGAAGCCGAAACATGCACGGAGAATGGACGTCCGAGCGATGGCGAGGCATTGAGGGAACGTTCATGGAACAAACAGAGGGGACTCGAGTCAACTCGAAGCTGGGAACAGCCCGAGCAGGTCCCAACACTGGCTAACCTCGGGTCCTCCGGGAGCCTTGTGGAGGCCTTTTGGGTAGGGATCTCTTAGGGCTCCCTTGTGCGCTTTGGGAGCGAAGGTTGTGGATTGATGAAAGAAGGGGATGATCCCTAATGAATTACCGTCGCTCCCCTGGAACCGAAGATTCGTCTCCTGGAACCCTCTTGGGACACTTTTGTGGTGTGGTCCTCTTCCCTTGGCGCCATCTTGACGCCCATCGAAAGCGAAATTGCGAGGAACGATCTCAGCCTCTCGGATGCATCCTTGGGAGGCGCCGTGGCCACCTTGAGCCGTAGTGGTGCTCTCTTGGTCGCTCTTGAAGGCATGCCGGAGGCCACCTCTGACCAGCAACATGCCCTGTTGCGCTATCTTGGAGGCCATCCAAGTCTAGTCGAGCCTGTCCTGGAGCCATATTGGGCCATGTCGGACCGACCTCGCAGACGCGCGTGCGCGCGCCCAGTGGCAGGCGAAGTCGGAGGTCTCGACAAAGAAGGTCCGCTTCTGCATGTACCACCTGCAGGCCGCCCCCCCATCCCCCCCATCCCTCTGTCCCCCCTCGTTCTCCCTCGTCCCCGACCCTCCCTCCTCACCGCCGGGCTTGGGGACTGGGGGCTCTGGCTCGGACGCTTGTCACTCTTGACGCGAGAAGGGCCCCGGTTGGCAAGGTGGCGCTGGAGGCCCCGGCTGGCCCACCTCCTGCGAAGAGCTTCCCGCACCTGCGGCTTCTGGCCCGTGGGGAGTGCCTGCGGCGCAGGGGCCCGTGATCAACGAGTTCTGGTGTAGGCTCGTGCGTCGAACACAACCCCTCCCCCTCCTCGCCCCCCTCTCCTCCCCCCCACTCCGCTCTCCCCCTCCCCTCCCCTGGCGCTAGCCTGCACTGCTGCATCCGCGCAGCTCGGAGCCACCTGCTGTCTGCATCGTGATGTACTAGTAATTGATCTGTTTAACTCGTTTGCCGGACCCGCCGCCAGGCTCAGTGCGCATTCTCCACTTGAAGTGTCGACGCATACCCTGGCAGGAACCATCGTGTGGAGGACAATGCGAGGACACACAATTGTCGACGCCTCGCGAATCCCCACCAGCCCATCCAGAGTCGATGTTCAGGGGAGTTGTCTGGAGGAGAAGCGTAGCCAAGCAATGGTGAAGGAAGGAGACACACAACGGTGAACGTAAATCTCTCGGAGCCATTCTGGGGCAATTTTGGAAACATTTGGGACTCTGTTGGGTCTTCTTGGGACCCCTCTTGGGATCCCTTGGGGCCCCGTCGGGGCCATCTTTGAGGTAATCGAACGAAAACGGGGTGTCGTATATGTCAGTCCCTCCGTCAGGGACTGAAGCATTGCTCGCTGGAGCCCTCCTGGGGCGCTCTTGGGCGCTGTTGGGGCCGTCTTGGGCTCCACTTGGTCCCCTCGCCAGGCCCTCTGGGGCCATCTTGGGGCCTACCTTGATGCCTCGCGAGCCTATCGGAAACGAGAGACGACGATCAATATTCTATAGATCTGTATATCTTTAATATATAAATACATATATATATATATTTATATATATATATATATAAATATGTTGTAAGGGCTGTGGCCTCTCGGGGGAGTCTTTGGGATGCTCCGCGGCCACCTGGACCCGTCTTGGGACAGTTATGGCGTTTCTTGGAGGAAAGTTGGAAGCTAACTCGAGCCATACAGCGTTATCTTGTGCGATGTTGGAGGCTATCTGAGGCCCTCTTAGGGCTAGCCTGGACGCTCTACCTGCCCGCGACTTGTCTCCGCACAGATGTTGGGCGAAGACGGTATATCCTGTCTTCGGTGCCGCGGTTTCGCCACGGCGGCCGCACTAGTTGAATGGAGGAACACCATGTTTTGTATCACCCTGTCATGCGTTTCATCTTCCTAACGGTCGGCACTTAACACTGAAAGGGTGGGGTATGTGCACGATTCCCACGATTTGGTGATTCACGAATCTCTCAAAGTATGGTTCTGATCCGGTGTCGGGTACGATAGTAGTGAGAATTTGAGACCTCTCAGAGAGCCCTGTAAGCATACAATATCAGCTACTAGAAAGGAGTACCTACGGAATTTGCTCCAAGGATTGTGGCCCAAGGCTTTTACTCACCACCAACAGGCAGCACAGGCTGCAAAGACTGTGAGGTAATTTCTTTTCCCCGTATAACATCGTCATGACGTCCACTCCACTCTATTCTTTCTGGCGGCGCGAACAAGGGTATGGGGTATGGGGCTAGGTGGGCGGCCTTCCTAAGAAGCTTGGAGGTATTTTAGAATTGCAGGGTGCTTCTTAGAGCGCCCCCCCGCTTCGAAGACACCTCCTTAGAAGCCCCCGGTTTCGCGCTCTTCCCCCGTTCCATCTCCCCTCTTGCTCCCCTCTTGCTCCCCTCTTTCTCGGCAGTGCAGGCTGGCCTCAACAAGCCCCCAGTGCAGTCCAGAACGGTCTCAACACCCCATTCCCGCCGCCGGAGGCGGCGTTCAGGGAGCTGGGGGGAGGGAGCAGGAGGATGAGGAGCAGGCCTTGACGCCGCGGACAAGCACGCCCAATTACATGCTCAAGAAAGGATGAGGCCTCAGGACGCCAGCCCCCTCCCCCACCCAGCCCAGCGCCCTACAGGGCGTGTGCAAGTACACCGACGAGACGTGCGCCTTCGCGCACTCGACGGAGGACGCGCCCCAAGGGTGAGGTGGAGCCCGCCTCCCCGACGGTGTCGAGCGTCGTGAAGGGGAGGCGGGTCTCTGCAAGGGTTTTGGACGGTTAGTTCATTTTGAGGGGGCCTGGGGGAGGCTTTTCGTCGCCAAGGCTAGACCTACTCTCACTTCTCGTCTTTTCGTCTAAGCACACCCCTGGAGAGATCCGCTGGGATCTAGGAGCCATCTTGCAGCGGAGGGCTCGCCATGTCAGTTCGTATTCCCCCCTCTTGGACCTCGCTTGGGACCGTCTGGGCTCTCTTGGGCTCGTCCCGGGTGCCTCCTGAGCCGTCGTGGGCTCCTCTTGGGGGGATTTTGTACCGTCCTGTGGCGATCCTTGGAACGCTGGAAGCCCGAAAAGGCGACAATGCTGTAATAGGAATGAAAATGCAAAGTATAGATAAGCCCGCCGCAACACCAATTGGGAGAACGCTTTCTTAGCGGCAGTGCTTGGTCTTGCATTGCATTGCATTGCATTATGTTGTTTGGCATTGGTTTGCGTTGCGTTGTTTGGCGTTGCGTGGCGTTGCTTGGCATTGCTTAGCGATGCTTGGCGTTTCTTGGCAGTGATTGGCGTTGTGTTGCGTGGCATTGCTTGGCATCGTTTGCTTTGCTTGGCTTTGCTAGGTGTTGCTTGGCATTGCATGGCGTTGCTTGGCGTTGCCTTCTGTTGCTTGGCGTTGCTTGGCATGGCTGGGCATGGCTGGGCATGGCTGGGCACTGGTTGGCGGTGCTCGTTGTTGCTTGGCATTGCTTGGCGGATCTTGGTATTGCTTGGCGTTGGTTGGCAGGGCCAGGAAACAAGACCAAGCAACCCGAGGAATGCAGTAAGGAAGCAATGCCAAGCAACCCGAGGAAGGCCACTTTCAAAACCGAACGGAACAAGACCCAGCAATTCTAGACGCTTCGCGTATCCCCACCAGCCCGTCCAGAAACGACGCCCAGGCGAGTAGAGGGTCGTCCTGAGGGGCTTTTCGGCGTCTTGGGTGCCTCGGGGGGGCCTCTGTGGGCCGTTCGGGATCCTCTTTGGGGCCTCCTGGGGGCCTCTTGGGGCCTCTTGGGGCCATCTTGGGGCCTCTGGGAGCACCTTGGGTGCCTCTGGGGGGTCTCTTGGGGCCTCTTGGGGGTCTCTTGGGGGCCTCCTGGGGGCCTCTTGGGGGGCCTCTTGTGGTCATCTTGGGGCCATCCGGCGGCCTCTTGGGGCATCCTGGGGGCCTCTTGCGGCCATCGTGGAGGAAATCGATCAAAGAAGAGGGGTTCCTTAATTAGAGTCCCCCCCCAGGAGCCACGATCCTCGTGAGTGGTGTCGAATTTTAGCCCTCCCAGGGGTCGACCTTGGGCGCTCCAGCGCGCCGCGGAACCCCCTGTCCAGGTCAGTGGGGAGGGGGTAGGGGGAGGGGTAGACCCCTCCCCGAAGGGGAAGAAGAGGGGTGGAAGAGGAAACGCTCTAAACCACCGACGGGCTGGTGGGATTCAAAGAAGGCCTGTTGAGAAACAGTAAGGGCACAAAACCTAGCAACCCGACGAAGGCCTCTTCAAAAACGGTACGGAAACGAGGCCAAGCTACCTGAGGAAGGCACCCTTCCAACATCGTAAGGAAGCAAGACCAAAGACATCGAGGAAGGCGGGCAGGCGCAGGTCTCGCAGCCATCGGTTCTTCAAGAACAGTGAGTCCCATAGGCAAGCCGGATTCGGAACACACGCACACACACACAAACACACGCAACACGAGGAACACCCATACGTAAGGCGTCGTAGGGCCTTCTTGGGGGGCCTCTTCGAGCTCTGGTTTGGCGTTTCACGGGCTTCTTGGGCCGTCTTGAGGCCATCTTGGGGGGCCTGATGACACTCTATTGAATGTTGTTCGGCACGGTAGTCACTCTATATCTGGCAAATACACGTATGTATTTATATACATATATATATGTATATGTATATATAAACATATGCGTGCTTTTTATATAATTGTGTGTTAGCCAGCGTGGACTCCGAACAGTTTGTTTCTAGCAATATGTGCTTTGCTATCCCTGTGGAGCCATCCATGAAGTGCGATCCCCGTGGTCCAGTCTATGATGTGCAATTCACTTTGACTGTCTTGAAGCTGGCCTCTCCACTGCTCGTGCAAACATCCCACCCTCCCACCCGCAACTTGGTCGCAAGACCTCTTAAGACTATGACGGTAGGTACCACATGGCATTTGGCAACAACACCGACGCCGACGACGACAGCGAAAACGACGACGACGACGCCGGCGACGACGACTGCGACGACACCGACGACGATTCCGACGACTTCGACGACGACGACAACGACGACGACGACGACTCTGACGACGACGACGACACCGACGACGACGACGATGATGAGCGCCGACGACGACGACGACGATGACGACCACGCTGAAGACGACGACGACGCCGACGACGACGACGACGCCGACGACGACGACGACGACAACGACGACGACGACGCCGACGACGACGACGACGACACCGACGACGACTCCGACGACTTCGACGACGACGACGACGACGACGACACCGACGACGACGACGCCGACGACGGTGACGACGATGATGAGCGCCGACGACGACGACGACGATGACGACCACGCTGAAGACGACGACGCCGACGACGACGACTACGCCGACGACGACGACAAAGACGACGACAACGACGATGACGACGACGTCGCCAACGAAGACGACGACGACAAGGGATGAGGGAGGACCACGACGGCGACAGTGACAATAACGACGAGGGAGGAGGAAGGACGGCGACGACGCGAACGACGAAGAAGGAGGGAGGACGGCGACGCCGACGAAGACAACGACGAGGGAGGAGGGAAGACGACGACGACGGCGACGAAATAGGAGGGACGACGACGAGACGCCGACGACGGACGACGACGACGACGACGAGGGAGGAGGAAGGACGACCACGGCGACAATGACGACGGAAACGACGACGACGCCAAAGAGGACGAAGACGACGACGACGAGGAAAAACAGTGGACGACGGCGACGACGACGACGACGAGGGAGGAGGGAGGACGGCGACGATGACGACGACGACGCAAGAGCGCGCGCGTACGCTTTTGTTGAAAATCCGTTTGGCGAAACCCTGTGTTTTTGTATGTTTTTTGGACACTGGATTTTGAAATCCTTCCGAAGCCGAAGGTTTTTGAAGGATTTCGGCATGCGCGCGCGACGACGCGCGCGTGTGCACTTCGTTTAATTTCTGTTGCAAGGGATTCTTGGAAAATTGTGATTCTTGATACACAAGTGTGCGCGCATAGTTTTTTGCAGAGAATTGCGGGGGGGCCGATACCTGCCTGACTGGGATAGTATGAACTCACAGGTAGGATGGACATTGGGTCTGAATCTTATGTGTTTTGCATAGGTTCCCGGGGGGTCTTAAACCCCTGGGAGGAGGGAGGTAGAACTTATTTCTGTTTAAAAAGGAGAGTCTATGTTGTGCAACATATGTCGAGCAACATATGCGGTGCAATCGATGTGTTGCAATGTATATTGTGCAATTGGCGTTGTGCAATACATGTTGTGCACTTCGTGCGGTGCGATCTATGTGGCGTAATATATGTTGAGCAATCTATGTTGTGCAGTACACCTGGTGTAATAGCCATCCGTGTTGGTTTGCAGTGGATCGGATTACAATCGACTGGATTGCAACGGGGGAGTTGCAACGGGACGGCGGCGACGGCGACAACATAGCCGTCAGACCAGCGGTCAGGCCCAGACGACGGACGGCGACGGGGCGGCGATGGCGACAACCTAGCCGCCAGACTGGCGGTCGGGCCCAGTTCGTAAGAACACAGTAAGAACACCTAAGTACAAGCACTGTTTGGGGAATGTACGTATAACTGTGGACCAACGCCCGGGGGCCCCGGGCCGCGACCTCGACCACAACTGGGTGGACCGGGTGCCCGGCCCACCTCTCGGGGGCCCAAAATCTGTTTGCGAGTCATTGGACAGCCGTCATGGCGGCCCAAGACGGGCCCGAGTGACCCCCACGACGCCTTAGGGAGGCCTCCGACGGAGCAGGATGAGTCCCAAACGGCGGGCCAAGAGATATCCACGACGCTTCCAGACCGCTCCAAGAGGACCCTCCAGAGGGCCCCGAGAAGCAACAACCGTCCCATTTCCTCTCTGGGAAACCTACAGTTCTAGCATATTCGCGATTTCTTTCAACACGGTCGAAGACGACCCCAGAGGTCTTCTAAGTCGCCTCGAGATGGTCCAAGAGGGCCCTGGCCCAAGAGTGCCCCAATGCGGACCAAGAGACCCCAAAGACGGCATAAGAGGGCCCCAAGAGGGCCCTAATATGGGCCCAGGAGGGGGGGCCTGAGCTGCCATTTCGAGCCCACCGCTCAAAGATGACCCCCGACGCCCCAAACATGACCCTGATAGGCCCGAAGAGGCCCCTGGGAGGCCCCTTAGAGGCCCAAAAGAGTACCCAAAGCCCAAGAGACCCCAGGAGCCCCCCTGGAAGCCCCGCCAAAAGACACCCGACCGAGCTCCGAGAGACTTTCAAGAAGACCCCTAGATGCGTTTATGAGGCCTCTGGCCCACAGCGTAGACAGATCGCCTTATCGACCCAAGACCACCGTCAATGCCGCTCCAGAGGGAAAGCACCCACGACGCTTCAAGACCGCTCCAAGAGTCCAAGAGGGCCCCGAGAAGCGAGAATCGCGCCATTCCGTCAGGAAAACATGCGTTTGAAGCAGATTCGCTTGTGTGATTTCAATGCAGTCCAACACGACCCAAAAGGTCTCTAACATCGCCTCGAGACTGTCCAAGAGGCCCTCAAGAGGGCCCATAGAGGGCCCCAAGACGGACCGAGAAGCCCCGAAGACGGCCCAAGAGGGCCCCAAGAGTGCCCCAAGACCTTCGAAAACGTGTTGGGATGATGATCTCTGGAGTGTTTCGGTCCGGCTGGACGACCGATAAAGCAAGGTAG